ATAATAATAATAATAATAATAATAATAATAATAATAATGCTTTATTTGTATCCTGCCCCCTCTCCCAAAAGGAACTCGGGGTGGCTTACAACATAGGTTTCAAATGTTATCATTTTGTGCTGCTGCCTTCTACTGTTGTGTTTTTAAAAGAACAATATGTTAATAATTATTAACAATATTTATTTATTTATTTATTTATTTATTTTCGAGTACTTCTACCTCACCCTTCTCAACCCCCGGAGGGGGACTCAGGCGGCTTACAAAAGGCACAATTCGATGCCTACACAATAATACAAATAACATTTAAAACAGCAATTAAAACAGTTATAACAGTTAAACAATCGATATATAACATAATCATAAAACTAATCTCATGCTCAGCGTTCTCTATTCAGAGTCCATAACTTCATTCCACTTTGCCCCTTCTTATCAATCATCATAGTCCTTTATTTATCTGCCTGATTGTCCAAACGCCTGGTCCCAAATCCATGTCTTTAATTTCCTCCTAAAGGAAAGGAGGGATGTCACTGATCTAATTTCCCCAGGGAGTGAATTCCACAGGTGGGGGGCCACCACCGGCAATCTCACTTGTGATCATATTTTAATAATTATTAACAATATGATGATAATAATAATAATAATAGTAGTGACAGCAGGGTTGAAGAGGAACAACTGGAAAAGACTTTGGCACAAGCCAGGAAAGGTGGTCCCAGTGGTGATCGGCACACTGGGTGCAATGCTTAAAGACCTTGGCCTTGGCTTTCTCGGTGGTGGCCCCTCAACTCTGGAACTCACTCCCCAAGGACATCAGGCATGCCCCAACTCTGGCAGTCTTTAGGAGGACCCTGTGGTTGTTCCAGTGTGCCTTCCCAGAATAAGGAATCTCCTAGCAATATGTCCTTAAATGCACTTTATTAATGATCTAGGATTGTTTGCACATCCCATTCCTTTCCGAAAACGCTATCCTAGTCATATTTCACCTGTTCATGCTCAGCATTATCTTTAAAATGTTAATTATTACATTTGGCCCAGCCATAGGTTTTTAAAACGTCGTTGTGTTATTGTTAATGTTCATTGCTTATTTTTTGTTATGAGTTTTATTTTATTGCCTGTATTATTGTTATTGTTTGTATGACTGATGTATTGTGGGCTTGGCCTCATGTAAGCCGCACCAAGTCCCTTGGGGAGATGGTAGCGGGGTATAAATAAAGTTTTATTATTATTATTATTTGACCTGCACTTAAACAATCAGCACTGACAAAATTACCATCTGCCAGCTGTAGAAGGCCACCTTACTGGGATCTGCACGCATTATTCGCCGAAACATGACACAGTCCTAGACACTTGGGAAGTGTCCGACATGTGATTCAATACAACAGCCAGCAGAGTGATCTTGTCTGTTGTGGACTCATCTTGTTGTATTTCAAAGAATAATAATAATTTTATTTCTTACCTCTCCTCATGTCTCAAGGTGGGTTATAAAACAATTAAATACATAAAACACAACAAAAACACTACAAATTCACACACTAAAACGTACCCCATGAAAGTTACACACCAAAATGTGATGTTTTTAAACTATTGTGTATGAACTCCCTTGTTGTAAACTGGCCTGAGTCCCTCGTTGGAGGTGAGAAGACCGGTATATAAAAGTTCTAAATAAATAAATAAATAAATAAATAAATAAATAAATAAAATGTATCTCTACAAAATACATACTAAAAATACACAAAACTGAGATCAAACAAAGGACATATCCTGTCTAGACTAGGTCTGGGTAAACTTCAGGCCTTTCAGGTATTTCAGACTTCAACTCCCATAATTTCTAACAGCCTCAGGCCCCTTCCTTTCCCCCCTCAGCTGCTTAAACAAGGACTGATAAAAAAGCTTCAGTGGAGACACCTTTTCCTCACAATAACTCCTTCAGGAGTAGATTTCCCTTTCTAGGGGTAGATTCCTCTCACTTCCTATATATCAGTTTTGGCTAATATATCAGTTGCACCCCTTCCTAGAATCAAAGGCCTAAGTATGGTAGTGCATACGCTGGTATCCTCAAGGCTAGACTTCTGCAATGTGCTTTACATTGGGTTCAAAACATCCATATTAAAGTCACTTTGCTGGTTGCCTATTAGTTTCTGGGCAAAGTACAAAGTGATGGTTTTGACCTTTAAATCGCTAGATGGTTTGGGTTCAAGTTTTCTGCAAGATTGCCTTCTCCTGTACCATCCGCCCTTTAGGACACTTAGGTTCTCTGTGGGACGCTTACTCCAACCAGCCAGAACCTGAGTGGCAATAACCATAGCATCTTTTCATCGACCATCCCAAGATTCTGGAACGACCTGCCAGAAGAGCTCCAACAGCTAAATAAGCTGACAGAATCCCAAACATAGTTGAAGACTTATCTCTTCTGGCAGACCTACCCAGTCAGTTTTAAACTTTGTATTTTAACCCCTATGTTATTAGTATTAGTGTTGGTTTTTGTTATATCTATTTCCATATTTGCATTTCAATGATAGTATATTTTGTCTCTATGTTTTAACCACGTTGCACCCTTCCTTGAGCTGTGAGGAGTGCGCAAATGCACAGTCCAGTGCTGCTCCACTACTCCCACATTGGCTATATTGCTGCTGCTAACAAGAACAATAGAGGAACACAAAAACAGAAACTTAAGCAGCAGGAGTGTATGTGATATCTAATATAATGCAATATTCCTAACAAAAAATATTGTAGAACAGCATTTTTATTATTCATATAGCACTCTAGAATATTTGATGCACTTCACATCCATTATCTCAATAACCTCTCATAAAGACCTTGTAAATAAAGTTAAACTGTATTATTACTCTCTTGTGTCACCTCTGAAGTGCAGACAGAGTAGGTACTTAAATGGCAATCGTGTGCACTTTTCTATCTGAGAGTAAATTCCATTAAATACCAACAAACCTAAATATGTACACAATTAGGTAATTTACAGAGGAATTGCAATTTTAGTGCGTGGCAGCTTGAAAAACAAAGTCCAATAAAGCATTCATTTGCATAGAATCTAAGTCCTGAAATATATGTATGAAATCTTCACCTCAAACTGGCAAATGAAAGGCTGCCAATGTGGTATAATACAGTAGTTTGGGTGTTGGATTAGCTGCTGGAGACCAAGGGTGCATATACATTGTAGAATTAATGCAGTTTGACTACCATGACTCAATGCTATGGTTTCTATAGTC